TTGTTTTTCTCTCCCAAGCCTATGTATATTTTAAAACATACTGTAAACCTTTAGAGGTTTTTCTTAATGTGGATCTGTCTTACTGTAAATCTTTATCTTTTTTGTGGCAATGAGTCTTTTATCTGGTAAACAACAACATTGCTAAAATGAAAGCCATAGCTGTTTTAGCCATGGTCCATACAAGATGGTGGGGTGGGGTGGGGGTTAACTAACCTCCAAAACTGAGAGCTGTGTTCACTGCCTTGGTCTATGCTACCATAGCACCATGTTGCTGGCTTGGAGATGTGGTCACTGCCCATTGCCAGCTCTCATACACACCATTAAGTTGTTAGCAGAGATCTTTAAAAGCCTTGCAGTTTTTTGACACTTATACTGAGTCAGGAAATCTCACTTAAAGGAGCTGTGCAAGTCTCTGTCTCTAGCAAAGCAGAGTCCAAATGAGAAAAATGATGTACCGAGAAGCCTTGCTTGTCCTTATTCTTTTGTTTCTAAAACCCTTTCTTAAGCTTTTGTTAAGTGGAAGTTCTTATTAGCCACATTGCCGGTGCCATTTTGTTATGAGCGTGTTTTTCCCCAGCCTGGTCCCACAGCTGCACCAGCTCCAAATAACACACCGAGATGACCTGTTATTAGCATTTCTTATTGGCTTGCTCTTCTTAAATATTAACCCATTTCTATTAATCTAAGTATTTCCACGTGGTCTCATCTTACCGGAGAGAGAGCCTGGTGTTCTATTGTCTCTGTCCTTCACATGTTGAGTTGTATTTGGCAATTTTAAAATAACGAGTGCATATGTTGCTGAGGTTAAATGGTGAAACTTATGTTACAGGTAGTTTCTTCCATGTTCAGTACTTTTGTCACTGTGCCAAATATCTGAAATAAACAGCTTAAAAGGAAGAAAGACTTATTTTGCCTCACAGTTTCAGAGGCTTTAGGCCACGGTCAGCTGTACTCCACTGTTTCTAGGTAGGGAGTATGTGGTGGAGATGAGCTGCTTACCTTGGGAGTCCAAGAGCAGGAAACCTGGAGAAGAAGTTTCCTGGGACAAGATAGTGCCTTCAAAGGCACTCTTGCCAGTGCTGCACTTGCTGTAACAGTTCATTTGGGACATGAGACCATGGATGGATCAATCCATTTTCTGGCTTAAAGATTTTCTTCAGGGTCACTATTCCTAAGGTTGCATTATCTTCATGAATCCTGGCTCACAATGGGAACATCGGGTATAGCTCTCCTGTTCCCAGTGCTTCAAAACTTAACCTTCCATTTCCTGTTCTGACACATAGATTAATCTTTGGTTTTTGCATTTGCCTATACTTCATACTCAGGTGTCAGCCCTTTTTTTCCTTTGTCATTCTTTGTCTTTAGCTTTCTTTTTGCTTCTTTGAAAGCTAAGCCATGTGTCAAAAATAAACTCAAGGCAATTCATTCAAGTCACTTCAAGGGCATTGAGTTTAATCCTGCCTTAGAGCTTTTAGACCATGGGTCTGCTGGCCTGGCACCCTTTCCTTTTGTTCACATAACTGAGTTCTTACCACCTTAAATGGGGCCTTCCTTCCAGCACCCACATAGCTTTATTATATCACCCTATTTTGATTTTTTTTTCAGGGAATCTCTTTGAGATAGCCTTTTTCATTCATTGTCTAAATTCTATTAGAATACAAAACCTGTGAGAGCAGGGATTTGTGGGCACGACTTTCTTCTTCTGATTAGAATAGCTCTGTGCGGATAGATAAGATCTGGTCTCTTCAAGGTTCCATTGTTCCATTCTTTTTCATTATCTTCTCAGCATAGCTGAGATATGGAGCCTCTTCATGGGTCTCACTCTGTAGTTCTGGTTAGCCTGAACTCACTATGTAGAAACAGTGACATCAAACTTATAGAGACCTGCCTACTTTCTACCCTCCAAGTGTTGGGCTTAAAGATGTATGTCACCACACCCAGCTTTCTTTTATTCCTTTCCTTTTTTTTTAAAAAAAAAAGATTTATTTTTATTTTATGCATATGGATGTTTTGCCTATATGTATGCCTGTTCATCTGGTGCCTGTGGGGGCCATAAGAAAGTGTCAGATTCCCTGGAACTGCAATTACAGATGATTGTGAGCTATCATGTTGATATTGGCAACCAAAATTGGTTCTCACATACATTGAATAACTCCTCCTATCAAGAATCATTCTATATCCTCACATCAATATTATATAACTGAAATTATTTATTTTCATGTTGCAGATGAAAAAAATCAAGGTGTAGAGTTTTATAGGATAATATAATAAGCAAGCATCTTGGATTGAGACCCAAATGAACAATATGTGCCCTGTGTGAAGTGTTCTAGAAGGCCTGCATGCTCAAGGGACAAGTGGCTGCCTCTCATTTCAGATTAAAGTAATTGGTTCCTTCAGGGAAGCTTTATTTGAGTAGCTTAGCTTTTTAGTTGACAATTTCATAGACCTAGTGGAGAAATGTCTATATTTGGGTAAAGAGAGATGCCTTGGAGATGATGATCATGTCTTGTACATGATCATCCTGAATATTTAATAAGTGTCTATTATTGGCAATATTATGGAATGCAAAGAGAGTTTCAATTGAACCATAATTCACTCTGGTGTGATGGTTTGGATTTGAAATGTCTCCTGGAGGCTCCTGTGTTTAAACATGTGGTCTTCAACTGTTGCCAACATCTGGAAGTTCGTGGAATCTTTAGGAGGTGGAGATTTGCTACAGGAAGTGAGTCATGAGTTTAGTATTGTGCCTCTATTTCCTTTCTGCTTTCTGATTCCTTATGTGACCAGCACCTTCCTGTTGCACTATTGTGACTTATTTCCATGATTGACTGTTCCTTGTTTAGTTGTAATCCAAAATAAAATCTTCCTGTAGTTGTTGTTTTCCAAGTTTTAATCATAGCAATGAAAGAAATAATACAGTGGATCACTGGGTGATAATGGAAATGAATATGCAATGCTGTTAATTTTTTTTTTAAGTAACAAAACTTTATTTTTATTTTTTACAGAAATTCAGATATTCCAACAAATTTCTTTACATTTTCTGGACCTTAAAAAATTGCACACAATTTTTGGACATAATATAACTGAACAGAATGAGAAAGGGAGTCTTTTTTTAAAAGGTAAAAACATACTTTGTATACTTAACATTTAGTGATTTACATGTGTATTACCTATGTACAAACAGAATATCATCAATGACCCATCTTCATAGCACTGTGGTATGCTAAATTAAACTTGGGTTTTATGGTAAAAGCTTCTTAAACACATTTGCAAGTGATGTAGGACCCCAGACAGAACCATAATTTACATGGGTTAGAGGAATCTAATACCTTCTGTTTCTAATGCCTCCCTTTAAATAAAAGATGAATTTTAAAAAAAGTTGTGTGTTGTTTGAGGCCAGCCTGGTCTACAGAGTGAGTTCCAGAATAGCCAGGGCTACACAGAGAAACCCCGTATTGCAAAATGAAACAAAATAAAACAAAAGTGTGTAATTAAATTTAGTAAGTACGGTATTCTGAATGTCCTGGGACAACTATTACTGAAAGCAACAAAGAGCCCCCAGAATGGCTAGTACTATAGTTACAAAGACTAAGTGTTCTCTTACTACAGTTCTTTAAGAAAGCCACACCTGTGAAGTGGGTTGTACTTGAGCACTTGATTGTATCTGTAATATACTTTTAGCCATTCGAAGCATTTGGTTCATGGTGAAAACATGGCAAAAATATGAATGTGGTCTTATGCAAGCATAACAGAGGGAAACCCTGATTCTTTGTTATGCTCCACCTGATGTTCTAGTGACAGATGCTAATTCAACCTTATTCTGAGCCTGTGAGTGGAGATATATGTGTGTGTTTTCTGCTCAGGTCTATAATATGGGCTGGCCTCCATGTGCACTTTGGCTTGTGTTTATCCTCAGACAATGAACTACTCCAATATTAAATGTTTCTCTGTTGTTGGATTTAGGCAGGAGATATTATGAAGGCAATGGTTGTGGGATCCTGGGAAGAAAAGGTCCTTGAAGACAGATGGATAGTTGTAACTGGCTAACCAAAAGGGAAGAAATATATGAGAATTTTCAAAATCAACATTAATAAGCAAAAGGCAATTTATTCCTATCAAGTTTCTTTGACATGTGTAAGTATATAGTTATTTATTTCTAAGGCTATAAAGTGTTTTATTTATTTTGTTAGTACCCCTTACTACCATTTAGAAGTAGATTTAATGGAATAATTTCTTTTATCAAAACAAAAATGAGTATATGTCAGTACAGAAAATAAAGGACACAGGTTTCTAATGACATACAGAATGAAGAAATAGAAAACTCATATTTTAGATATCTATTTATAAAGTATATTAAATTTCTATGTATATACTAGGGGGAATTAGAAAAAGTTTATTTGATAGTACCCTATATATTACATGAGAGAGCATCCAAGTGAAAATAAACTTTCTATATTGTTCAGAGTTCCTTGATAATGTTTGCTGCTTGGGAACCTATGATGTAACAGTGTACTTCTTGTGATTCTTAGTTTGATGGAGCAATAGCACATGGCAGAAACATTTCCTTCATGATAACTCATACAAACAGATTAAACTGAACACACATGTGGCAAGAAGGAAGAGATGTATCTCTTAATAACCAAGTAGTTGTAACTAATTGCACAGTGAAATGAATGGACAGTAGTGATGAGGAACCAAAGATTAGAGCCATTTTTCAATAAATGGCACTTGATTAGCCTCTTGGCTACTAGACAAGAATAATCTAGAATTAACTGCCCTTTTGTTTCTTTTAATAGTATTGAAAGATTAAAGCTTTTTTGTTTTAGTTTAATTTAAAAAGGACAGTTTATAAACTTCAGTAACTATGTATTTTACCTGTTAATTTTAGCAAGATTCTATTCTTTCTTAAACTATTTCCTGAATATGATTTTCATGAGTGTTATCTGATCTTATATAATGACAGTTTCCAGTGAGCTGCTGTTTAATCCATGATCATAACTCCTCCCAGAAAATCACTCAAAGCTCTGCAGATGTAGAGTCAGAAGTTGCTTTGACGAGTGGCTGTTTCACGTTTGTGCATATACATCTCTGGACTCTGATCTTTCCCAAGTGTCTTCCTTCTTGATGTTGATGGACAAAGCTGTTTGTTTAGCTATTGTTTGACTTCTTTTGTGCTCATTCTAGAGAATATTGGCTTAGCAGAACTGTAGAGAGGAGAGGGAGGAGAGAGAGAAAGGGTTGGGGGAAGAGAAAAAATACATCATTTTCTGTCAGCAAGATTTGCACATATTCATATTCATCATGGGACAATACCACAACAACTGGGCCTAAGTAGAGGGCTTGTTTAGCATGCACAGGAGTGATGGTGCATGCCTGTCATCCTAGCACTTGGTTGGTGGAGAGAAGGGGATCAGAAATTCAAGGTTATCTTTAGGTTCATAGCAAGTTTGAGGCCAGCCTTGGCAGCATAAGGCCATGTCTCACAAACTAAATAACCTTCTTATGCCAAAAAATAGTTCAGATGCACTTTGGATTTATTTCCAAAGACTTAGCACAACCTGCTCCATTATACACACAACACAGTATTCTTCATAAAATCCAAATATCTACTTGACTTGAGATTGTAGGCTGCTTCAGAGGAGCAGGGAAGGGTGCAGAGCCACCTTAAGTATCACTCATCTTGTCTGTCATAGAAAAGACTATGTTTTAATTGTTTTCCTTTTCTTTCTGTTTTATTTATTTACATGATGTTGTTAACGGGTGCAAAAAAATGATTATATGTGAATCACTCACAAATCCAATCACCTTTAAATGCCAACTGTTTCCTTCCCATGTTTCTTTATATTTTCTATGCTAATGCACTTTATTTTATAAAGGTTGAATCACAGTACCTATGACACTGGTTAATGTTTTTTAACATTGTATTAAACAGTCATTATCATTATATCAGCTTCTAGTGGCTGTATAAGATTCCATTCTATTTTGTTAAAGAAAGAAACTTTCTGTCGAGCCTGGCAACTTTATAATTATTTTTATGGACATTGGTGTTCTGCCTGCATGTGTTTCTGTATGTGGGTGTTGGATCACCTGGATCAGGAGTTATTAACAGTTGTAAGTTGCCATGTGGGTACTGGGAATCAAACCCGGGTCCTTTGGAAAAGCAGCCAGTGCTCTTAAATGCTGAGCTATCTCTCCAGCCCCCGTCATTCTACTTTCATTCCTTTACATCCATGTTTAACATTCCATCCTCCACAATTTCACTATTTTCAGATGTCTAGGCAGATTTTCTTTCATCTTAGGGGATGATAATTGTTCAGATAACAGCAGCCTAGGCTGGTCTCAAACTCCTGATCATCCTGTTTGAGTTTTCTGAGTGTGGAATTTCAGACAGTCACCTGCACACCAAGCTGGCATTGATTTTTATTTGTTTATTGTTGTAAACAGTGGACCTCTTTGCATCTAAGGATCTTTGTTCTTTAGGACAGAGTCTTAGGTTTTCATTTTCTCCAATAAATTGAAGACTATACCAAAGTAGACCTACAGTTGTATGGTCCATTCTTTTCTTGGGATGATTATCATAGACTTGGTTCAAAGATACTGTATAGAATGGGAGTTTGGGTCTATGGACTGGCTGACCATGGTGTAGCAAAGGCCACATATGCTGCTTGGTTTTGCAGCACAACACTTTAGAACACAAAATGAGCTTCTGGTTTCCAAATGCTAGAAACTCTGCTGAAAGGTTCTGTTATTATCTTCAATGCTTTCTCCCTCAACTTCTGCCACACTTAAAATATCTTGGTCATGTTATGATCTTAATGAACTTGCTTCAGCAAGACAACTCAGTAACTGTAATGCGCCCAGAGCACACAGATTATAATTTAAATATGTACATGTTACAATGATGACTTCTCTATAACAATTTTATGAGATTGAGTCATGCTGTCAGAAACTCTATCAGAAAGAAATGCTGTCTTTAGATAGTGTTAAAATTATACAAAGAATGGTGCGTCATCTGTAACACTAGTTCTAATAGGTCGTAATAATAAAAGCTGGGATTCAGATATAGGAGTAAAAGTTGAAAGATCAGAGAGATGAAGGAGCAAGCCACAGCCACACTTTACCTGGCCAACTTCCCATTTTAAAAGAGAGTGAGTTCCTGTTTCCTCCTGCCTATATTCCTCTCATCCCCACCCAACCATCTCACTTTCTGTCTGTCTGGCAAGCTCCACCAAGTGGGTTTTATGCAGTGCTGTAGGTGGTCCTGAACTTCAGATGGTCCAGATTGCAGGTTTGTGGGCTCAGGGTTCCACAAGGTTTGAATGTCTTACTCTGAAGATCTTTCTACTTAAAGTCCACACAGATGAAGGCCTGAATTCTACTGTTGAATTATGTCAAATGCTAGCCAAGCATGAGAGAAAAATGAAATATAGGAAGGACAATATGGAGATGTGTATTTAAAAGGGAGTATTGGGGGCTTGAGAGATGACTCAGGGGTTAAGAACACTGGCTGCTCTTCCAGAGAACCAGGGTTTGAGTTTCATCACCCACGTGGCAGTGGGCAGTCATCTGTAACTCTAGTCCTAGGGGACTTAATGCTCTCTTTTGGCCTCTATGGGCACCTGGCATGAATGTGATGTGCAGACATATATGCGGGCCAAAAAAAAAACCATATAAATAAAATAAAAATGTAGCTGGGCAGTAGTGGGACATGTACTTAGTACTAGCATTTGGGAGGCAGAGGCAGGTGGATCTCTGGGTTTGAGGCCAGCCTGGTCTACAGAGTGGGTTCCAGGATAGCCATGGCTATACAGAAAAACCCTGACACAAAAAAACAACAAAAAACAAACAAACAAACAAAAAAAACAGAAAAGGAAAAATGTTTAAAAAGCAGTTAACCATGTGGAGGAGAGGATAGTACTTGAAGAGGGTAGGGTTCTAATTGTGTGTAATAAAGAAGAGTTAGGAGATTTCCTCCTCCTCTTTTGATGGTCTCAAAGACACGAATCACTATAAAAAAAGCATGCTTTGCTCTGAGGCATTTGCGAATAACCATGAACTAGAAACCATTTGTTTCTTTTCCTTTAGTTCCCAGCTGCCGAGATTGGCTTTATGTTTATGGCATTATGGGATGAAGCAAAAACATGAGATTATTGGGGAGGAAATGTGCAGGGTAAGATCCAATCTCACTGAACTGGACTGGAAGAAATGGGTATGGGAAAGAATTTAGATATCTCCAGAGCAGTATGCTCATGCCTGCATGAGAAGGGAGCTGCTTTTGTGAAGATCCTGAGCCTTCTTGTGGGACCAGAGCACTTGTGGTCAACCGCATAAGAGCCATATCCATCTCCTCACCATCTAGGCCCACATCCTCAGGCCTGACCAGGACAGATCACTGGGTCACCTACAGCTTTCACTTGTATAAATCTCTCACTGGACTCCTCACTGTAAGCTCACTATTGATCACTCAAGTTTTTTTCTCCAGAATGGCCTGGCTTTTTTGGTTGTTGTTTTATTATTTGTTTTTTTCTTGGCTTTGATGGACACTAGGTCTTCTAACCCAGTGTATCAAGTAGCTAGGAATGAATGGGGAAATTATAGCCGGAAGCTGGGTTTCTATTGAGACAAAGCAAGTTCAGTGCTTAAATTTCAAATGTAAGAAACTGCATTCTGAGGGTTGGCCCATGTCAGTCAAGGGAAGGATGTCCTTACATTTTATATCAGGGGTCCTACTTGCCCACCCTTGGTCCTGGCCCTGCTTCTCTCTGCAGGTTTGTCATTATAAGGTTTTCTGAGCATGTTTGCCTGAGTCTGAATTACTTAGACACTGTTATGCCTGGTATTTTTACTTCCTAGTGCATGACACCACCATGTAATGACAACTTCAGGGCATGCGAGAGTTCTGTAGATCACTAGGCTGAAAATAACCAGAATATTGGTTCCAGTGGGACTCAGAACACAAACACTCCCCACTTTGCTTGGGGAGTAATGTTAGAATGTTATTACTCTTGCTCATACCCTGTGCACAGTGAGGTGTTTCTACCTGAATGCCTGGCAAACCTATGAATACAGGATTGTGAAGGGCATAGGCAGAAGGGAAGAATAAAAGGCCAGGCTTTCCTCTCCTCTTGTGACCATTCCTTCTCCTGTCTTAAGAGTATGAGCTATCAGGGCAGTTTGCAGAATTAACTAGGAACCCCAGTATAGTTACACCGTAATCACTGCCTTGTAAAACATTCTGCTCTTTTCAAATTTTTTTCTAACATTTTTCATACACCATGGATATTACCTATCAGTGAGGTAATTTAAAAGATGTCACATTCTCCCTAGTTTGTACAGAGCAGGGCTGAGTAAATAAGTCATTTAATGCTACTTTGGAGCTTTGTTCTGTCTGGTTTGACCTTGTAACATGTCATGGGCTCTGAGTTGCCTATATTTCATTGTCAATGGGATCTTCACAAATCCTTTGAATCACTGCTCATGAGAGTAGCATGCACAATAGTAACACTTTCCAGACCATTTAAGTCCTACTTTGTTGAATTTTCTACATGTTTACTAATGATGAAAGGAAGGTCCCCTAACAATTGCTTCCTGCTGATTTTTCTCTATCTAACCTATACAATTAGGGTTCAGAGCCCCTGCAATCAGGACAGCTAGGAGTGGAAGGAAGGCCAGGTAATGTGAGTAGTGAGAGGCCAGCCTTTTGGGAGCAATGGCTCCCAAAATGAGTAAATGCTGCTGGTGGTGGATTCCTGCCTGCTTTTTCTCATCAACAACTTTTGCCTTTCCCCACACTCTGTTTGGAACTGTGTCACTTCTGATAGGAACTTGTGATACCCTTCATTTCTAGGAGGTGGCTTGCAGTCCCTCATGATCAGTTACAATCTCATATAATTCCTCTTTCTCTATTAGCAGAATTTGATCTGTCAAGGTCTTATGTGCTTCAATGCCCCAGCTCTAAGCCAGTCTGTTCTTTAGATGCTTGCTTAGCAAATGGAGGAAAATAGAAAGAGAAGACTCTCTTTCCATTAATAACAGCCCATCAAGTCAGTGCTAAGCATGCACGAAAATCACCTGGACAGTCTGTAAAAGCGTGCAGATTTTCATTGGCCTGTCTGGAGGCCTTATCTGAGACCTTGATTGCTAATAATTTCCCAGGTGTCGCTGATGCAGGTGGTCAAATGGGAGATGTCATTCTGTAAATATT